TTCTTTAGCTGACATTCAATCGTGATCAGACTTGAAACGTATCTATTGGTTTGACTGTTTAATATCGGGTTTATCAAACTGTTTTGCAAAGAACTTACATAATTGATATGCTTAAATTTGTTATTTATGCAATATCGATATATTACTATGGGACATAAAGCGGATGTTATCGGAAGGAATATTCTTCGTACAATAATCTGAAATGTATCTTTTTTTCATTACAGCTTGATTCCACACTGTATTTTTGGTACAAGTATGGATTTTTCAGCATGGATATCGGTAGTCCGAATTTCGCAGGCCGACCATGGATATCAGGTGTGCGTCGGCAGGGGGTCGAACCTCGGACCATGTGCATTGTTGGCGAGAGTCCTAATCACTGTGCCACGGACGCACGTTAATGTGCATGTCTGTGTTGACATTGGTATAAATTGTTGGGGGAAGAAGGTTACTACGAATTTGCGTAACTTCATTAAAAAACGAAGTTTATCGAAAAAAATGTGATTTATTTGCGCAGTACATTTCGAAAAGTCTGTTCACACATATACTTGTCAATTTAGTTTATGTGAAAATGAATAGAACCGAAGGTCAAATAAATTAAACAAAACAACAGGAGATTTAGGCGAAAGAAGAATAATAGTTGTGACTACTTTAGGTGGGGATTACTAAGGTGGGTTAACGCTAACAATGTATTGTTCCTGCACAAAGAGAACTTAATTTTCATTACTGCTATGACAACATATTTTAATATGCCCTCATATCGGTTTTCATGTATAAGCATGATAGCTTTATTCACGTCAAACTTACCATTAATATGAATAAAGTGCTCTATTGTAGATGAAACTGGTACTCTACCACCTGTTCTTATCGAGGTTTGGCGATTGGACTATTTTCAAAGCTATTTGGGTACATTCTGCCCTACTCTCATGTGTAAAGCACGATTACACGCTCTCATATGTGTCTCCACACAAGTAAATTGGTATACAGTATGGAATGTGACGTAACCACCAGTGCAGGCTTGCAGTAAAGCACGTATTCGGCTTTTTGGATAATTATAGTTTGGACTGTGTAGTAAGGTTTACAGGTGACAGATTTCAGTCTCTGTCTCAAAATCATACTACTTAATTCTCCAATGTAAGGTAACCTAATATAGACATCTATATTTAGGACCTAGTAAACTGATGACTTTGGAGTTAACCTTCCACTACACTGGTTCAAAAACTTCAGACAGTATCGGTTTATGACAGTTGTATTAGTCGATATTTAATTGTTGTTGTCTATCATATCAGCTGTACATATCCTTTCATTGTGAATTGGTTAGAATAGTAATTACACTTATTCTGCATTCCATCCACAGGGTGAATCCGCTTAGAAGAAGAAGCATATCAGCAAACTTATTACTCGCCCAGTAATGTGTGGGCGATTACGTCATATCTTATTAACTGATTTTATTAATCCAGTCAGATGTAATTAATCCGTTTGATTTAAAATGTGATATAATTTTTTATCGAGTGATGTTTTAAAATCACTGGAGTATGAAATTTCGATGAAATCAAGTGATAGACAAGAATCTGTATTGACTGCTAAATATTTCTGCAGTAGGAACTGTAACTGTATTTTGACTTCTTTGAAGTTCTTATTACTGTGCTATTTTTTTTACCTCAATCTATGTTAGTAATTTTAACCAATTCTCATTTGTTACTGTTTTACCCAGAGACGGTTCCATCAGACTGGGGTAAGTCACTTATTGTACCGATATTCAAGAAGGGAAACGAGTCCTCGTGTGATAATCATAGGGGGATCAGCCTAACGAACATAGTCTCTAAAATCCTAGGCTCAGTAATCATGCACAAACTAAGCAGAACTCGGGACGAACAGACGAGGGGAAATCAAGCAGGCTTTAGATCAGGTAGAGGATGCATAGATAATATCTTCACTCTTCGACAGATTCTAGAACATAGACACACTTCGGCGTCCAACAATTGCCATATTTCTTGACTCGAAGGTGGCCTTTGACTCCGTGGATCGAAAGGTACTATGGCAATGTTTCACTGTGAAGGGAGTGCCAAGAAAGTACATTCCAGTAATCAAGGCACTCTATTCAAACTCACGTAGTCATGTAAGGGCTTATGGGGAATTTTCATCTGAATCGATAACAACCAGTGGTGTCCGACAGGGATGTCCACTTTCCCCATTCCTGTTTAACTTCATCATAGATATGCTAATGGAAGTATCCTTAACTGAACGTAACGAATTAGGAATCGACTTGTTACCAGGGAATAGTCTTATGGACTTAGAATATGCAGATGACATAGTCCTGTTAGGGGAGGATGGTGACAAAATGCAGTCTTCTGAACACCTTGTGCAGCAATCTTCGTATGTTTGGCATGCGATTCGCCCCTGTAAAATGGAAGATGTTGCTACAGGACTGGGCTGCGTCAACTCCTAGCTTAGTGATCGGGAGTGAAGTGATAGGACATGTTGACCACTTCACCTATTTGGGAAGTTGTAGGTGGTTTAAAAAGGTAAGTAATGTTGATGTTAGGCGTAGAGTGTTGGGCAGGCAAAGAGGGAAAATCAATCGACGAGGCTATAAAGTTACATAGATTGAGATGGCTAGGTCAGGTGCTGCGCATGCCTAACCATATTGGTGCAGGTTGGAAAAGAGTGAGTGGTGGCCAAACAAAAACATGGCATCAATCCATGAAATCCTTGACAGTTAAACTGAGTCGGTCAGGCAGGGAGATGCAGACTTCCGGGTTGGGGCCCTTGGGACTCTAGGAATCAATGACTAGAGACAATAGGTGACATGGCTCAAAATCGTTGTCAGTGGCCAGTGCAGATGTATTCAGTCTCTGTAATCTTTCATATTCCTTTCTACCATTACCCATTTTGTTTCGCTCTTATACTTGTGAAACTCTATTGATTCTCTTTACTCATCTTTTTGTCTACCTTTGTGTAGTATTTGGAACGTGGCAACTGGAACTGCTGCACTTTGGTGGCAAGTTCTATGTTGAATTCAGATAGACAGAGAGTTCCACCCACCTACTTATTATTGTTATTATTATTATGCTTATTATTAGAACTGTTCTCCTTCAGTCATGTTAAATTTCTCTCTCCACGTGCCATCAAGAACTTCAAAATGTATTACGCAAATATATGACTCTTCTCAATTGAAGAATTTTTCCTGTTAGACCTCTGATTTCTGTATTTATCATGTCCCTAGTTAATTTTATTATTCTTTTTGAAATGGCATGGATTCTGCTTTCAAACCATGCCCCATTTATGTCTAAGAAACTGGATAATACTGTCACTCCTCACACAGTAAGTACAGCTCGCGGCCTGGAAAGCTGAAGAAAAAAGCCTGTTCCGGACACTTGAGTTCTGATTAATTTACTAAGGAATGAAATTGATCCGCTACTGTGGATACGACAATTGGATGCCCATTGGTACATCTGGATGCCTACTTTCCTTGAAGTAAACAAACTGACTTCACAGTCAAATTATTTGGTAGGACACAAACGCATGATACACGACCCTAGTGAATAAATAATTTCTGGAAACTGCAACTATCTTCTTATTTACTCCTATGACCCAATGTGTATATTCCGTAATTTCTGGAAAGTGTTGACGGCCTTATTACGGAGTCTGAACAAGATTTAGCTGGTTATCACCATTTCTGTTTAAACAGTACCTTAGACCCTTTGTTCAAAGGAACCAATCGTTATATCCAAAAACTGATTGATGGATTTCGGTCCGAACGTGGTATTGGGATGAATGCTACTTATACTCAGATATAGGTAGTATACTAGTAAACGAATTCAGAAAAGTAACAATATGTTTTGGGCACTGGAAAAAAAACAATCGAAGAAGAGAACTGTGAGAAGAACGTTACAACACCGTGTTGGGATATTTGACCAGTTCACAAATGATATGCAAATAAAGACTTATAGATACCAAATTTATGTATCCAAAATGCCTTCGAACCTGATCGGTCTTTTCTTTTTACAGCAGTACACAGTTACGCTGATCATTATGCGGTTATCATTTCGGCAGCATTATCCAATCACAGACAGAAGTAGCTGCCACTTCAGTAGTTTATTAGTGAAATTGTTGACTTTAGTATCGTGTAGTGCAAGTTCAAGTGTAAAAGAGTACAGGGATCCCTGAGGTAAAATACCAGTAGAGTGTATTTTTGTGTTGAATGATTCCAAAAGTCCTACAGTGAAAAGTTAACTAATCGGTTGCAACAGAATTTCGCTGTTTTCCTTTCCCACTTGATCTCATTTATTTAGAGTTCTTACTTTCAACGTATAAAATCCACACAAAACCTTAGACAAAACTCTAATTCAGTTTATTACACTTAGCAGTAATGCCATAACACCAACATCATGTGATTAGTTTAAGATGAGACACGATATTGGCGAGGAACAGACGTTTGATATGTACAAATAACTGACTTCATTAGTTAAGATTGATCTGCATCGCTTATTAGTGTTAATAGATGAGATCACAATGGTTTGAAACGTTGTGTGTCTGTTTCACTCTTTTTCGAAATAAGTTTATCATTAGCGTAAAGAAACAGTTTAAACTTGGAATTCCAAATTTTTCAAATCACTTTGGGAATAGGAAGACACATAAAGGTTTATTCAACTGACGTGTTTGTTATAAATTGGTCTGTTCTAGTTGTCATTTATTCTTTGATGATGGGAGCCCATTGATGCAATAGTTGATTATTGTGATGGATATCACATTGGAATTTAACGGTAACAATTTAGTCTTTTTACATAGCTTTCAGCATTTGTTTCAGTGAAACTTTGATTGATTTCAAATAAGACTTTCTAACTGTATCTTGGTGATTAACTTAGATTTATACTTCTTAAAGTTCTGAAAAGAAAGTTTGGCATCCACGAAATTGGTTATCTGAACAGTTACTCTGAAAAATTGCGTGGAGCTAGAAGTCACGCACCATTTAACTGCTAATCAGTGACTAAATAGCAACTTACTTGTCTACTAAGCTTAAGGTTTTGTTTTCTATGAATGACTTAAAAAGCGTCTGAGAATTGCTGTAGAGTATCACAGTAGTTTTCAGTGCCCGATTGTTCCACAGGAAGTGGAGAGCTATCAAGTCGAGGAGTTGCATCAGTGGAAGGAAGGCAAGATGATAGAGATGAAGATGAAAACAAAGATGAGTGAGTAATAGAGAGGTTTCGTGTGCATTTAGGATTGTGAGGGCGATTGTTACTTCCCGGCTGCCCACATCGTGGAAGTTGGTTGCGTGACCGCAGAGCCCAGGGGACAACTGCTTGAGGCCGGTCACACGCGGCCTGTTTTTGTTTGTTCTTTTTTGTTTGGTGTGTCTCAGTAGCATACTTATCACTCCCGCCCTGTGACACGGCAGCAGGAAGCGCGGTCGTTGTTAATCCGGGCCACGGCCGATCCGGCATGAAATTTTGTAATTTTGTATTGGTCATTATGTTGGATTGGGTAGCTGCTTTTTGTTTAACCGCTATCCAAACAACCTGCCTGAGATGGTAGTACCTCAAGAGACATAAGTCTCAGCCAGTATAGCTTGAATAGGTCATTGCAGTGTTCAAGCCCGACCACCACGTCAAGGTAGCAGCTTCCGGTCGGTGTCCGTCAAGGATGCCCACTATCTCCTTTTATATTCAACTTCATCATAGATGTGTTAATGGACTTAACCTTAAGTGACTTCAGCGACTCAGGCATTGACCTGCTACCGGGGAATAATCTCGTTGACTTAGAATATGCAGACGATATAGTCCTTCTAGGCGAAGACGCTGACGAAATGCAGAGTATTCTAAACACCTTGAGCCGCAATCTACGAATGTTTGGCATGCGATTCGCTCCCACCAAATGCAAGATGATGTTACAGGACTGGACTACATCGACGCCTAGTTTAAAAATAGGAAGTGAAGTGGTAGAGCACGTTGACCGCTTCACTTACTTGGGAAGTACCATCAGCCCCAACGGGTTGATCTCTGACGAAATCTCAGCACGAATACAGGGGGCTCGTTTCGCATTTGCCAGTTTACGCCGACTCTGGCGTAGACGAGATGTTCGACTATCGACCAAAGGGCGGGTGTACTGCTCATCAATCCGCTCCGTCCTCCTTTATGGCTAGCTGTGGGACCTGGCCACTGAGAGTGGAAGACATGAAAAGACTAGCTGTCTTTGATCATAGGTGCCTGCGCTCTATTTCCCGTGTAAAGTGGCATAATAAGGTGAGTAACATTGAGGTTAGGCATAGAGTTCTAGGTAAACAGGGGAAATCAATCGTCGAAGTCGTGAAGCTACAAAGACTGAGATGGTTAGGACATGTGTTACGTATGCCAAGCCATCGCCTCCCTCGACGAGCAATGTTAGCGGATATAGGGTCAGGCTGGAAAAAAGCTAGCGGCGGTCAAACAAAAACTTGGCCTCACCAGTCAATGAAATCCACAACAGTTGGTCTAAGCCACGTAGGAAGGTGTAGACTTCCTGACTGGTTGGGGTCCTCGGGACGGTAAAAATCAATGGTTGGAAACAATTGGTGACATGGCTCAAAATCGTTCTCAGTGGCGCAGATACATCCAATCCTTGTGATATATGATCTCCAATGAAACTGTTTTGTTCTTCGTTATTGCTCCTTTGTCTCACACCTCTGCTCACTGTTTCTACTATGCTTTTCTTGTACTTTCTTCTCTTGCTTTGTGTGCTACAAGGAGGGAGTGTGGCGACTTGAACTGGTGCACATTTGTGCAAAGTTCTATGTCGAAAACAGACAGACAGATTGTTCCACAAAGAAAAGTACCTTATACAGGCTTCTCCCTGTGCAAGTAAATTCTCATTATTTTGTGAAGTATAAATTCCAGTTACAATTCAGTCTATTCCTCTCAAATTTATCGCAGGAGCTACAGTGTGTATTTTAATTTGATAGGTCGGTTGCATAGCGGTTAGGACACTCGCCGACGCACTCCCAAACCTCGCTAAGCCAGAAATAATGCTGGTAAACAGGAAAGGTTGGGTATGGAGTTAGCAACCCCATCCTGTAAAATAAACACTGCTACAGAAACTTCAAGCCACTAGCTTGAAGCCCTATGTTCCACCGGGGAACGTGAAGGAAAAAATATTAAGGAAATTCAGATTCACCTGTTCGCAACTTGTTTACTTTTGTAAATATCAAATTTTTAGAAAAATGTTTTCCGGAGAACTATCACAAGTAGTTGTTGATAGTCGACTCAGAAGGCATTTGTTTACTGTAAATGTGCATGAATGTGTATGACAGAATACTAACTAACTATGGATAGAATCGATTATTATTTTTAAATAATCAGTTATTATGTGTATATTATTCTATGAATTGTAGACAGTACGAAATAAATGCCAAAGATGAAGAAGATAACTCTGCCTGTGTGTATAACTTATATGATACTTTTTGTTTTAAATTTCGAAACCAGTTTTTGTGAAGAATCTGGTGTTAGTGAACAGTTTCGTAAATTTCTAAAGAAGTTAAATAATTCAGAGAATGTTTTCTTTGATCCAAAGTGAGTTGAATACTTGTATGTTTTTTTTGCTTCATAGGTATCTGTACTTGAAATAAATATTTATATTTAGGTATTAATCGCAACCAATATACAGAATGACTCACCGTTTTTCCATTTGACATTAGGGCTTTATAACTCCTATTGAAATTCTAACAGTCATCAATGGTTCACTCTGGGTTATTTGATTCTATCTCTGCATAAGTAGATCATGAACCTTATAAAATAGTTAAAGTATTAGAATATTTCAGTCACTCAACTCAAATGTTTAGCAAACCTCCAGAGCTACATTTATGTCGCCAGCACATATTCTACCAGACTGTCCAATTTGTAAGAAAAGAATAGAGAAACATGAATGAAGATGATGTATGTCACCACTTCTGGTTTTCAGATTACTCAGGAAAAATTTTTGACAACTGATGTTACAAAGGCGTCTAAAGGTTCACCAAAGAAATGCTGTCTTGCGTCATTATTTCTCCTTCTGATAAGTCATTTAGATTAAGTTGTTCTCATTCCTTGATTTCTGAGCGGAACATAGGGCTTCAAGCCTTGTATTTACGGACCGGCGTTGCTACCTGCTTGCTCGACCTTCCAGGGTTTCCTGGCTTACTACCGACTAGTAGACTAGGTGAGGTCTATGGTTTAGTTGGTAGGGAACCGAACCCTTGGCCTCCTACATGGCTGGAGACTTTATTAACCACGAACGCCCGCAGCACATAGTATTTTCAGCCGGTTAGCCGTGCAAGTACGACTCGGATCAATGTCGTTTGACTTCGGTGATAGAATAAGAACTTGTGCTTCAACGTGGTATGGTCATCGACTATTGCATACTAATTGATAATTCCATCGGAAAGCCATAAATTCTTGTTACTTTTATATTTTAAAGATATTTTACTCATTTAACCGTTCAACTCATTTTTGGTTATGGCTTTTCATCCATTGACAAGACTTTAACTAGAGTTAACCTTGCATCTGTTTGTGACTGTTTCTTGAATGTCACATCATCTATATGTTAACTGTATCCGCCTACTCAAAGCCTTAGTTCTCATTTTCTCACGACCAATATTGGGAACATAAACATTGACGTAAATTACTATCCACCGATTTTGGCTAACAGCCAGCTCTCACCACAGTTATACTGTATTTCACATAACACAGCACTTTCTACCTACGGCCTTCAAGGATTTAACACCATTTAAAGGCACTAGTTCACTTAATGACTTTTCAAAGGACACGCAGATAAATTTTTATTTCTCACTTTAAACCTTATGCATGACTCAGTAATTGAACGCTACTATCATTTCATTTACAGGGATCGGTACTGGTAAGTAGTTTGCTGACGAAATCTATGCCCAGATTCAGAAACCTCACTTGATTTTCTCCAAAATATACCACCTGAAGCAAATGAGCAAACAATGCTACTTAGGATAACCCTCTGCTTTTTTGTTGTAGTAACACATAACCGTTGAAAGTAAAAGAATTACCGACACTTAGTGTATTTATTCATTCCTCATCGCTTAATCATATTTTCTATAATTAATGGAAGCAGTCTAAAAATTAGGCGTAAAGTTCGTTGGTAAGATGAGTAAGACAGTCGAGGATAATACAGTTGTTCATTGTCTGAAATGTTTGGTTCATGTATTAATCTTGCCTAGTAACTATCTAATTGTTCTAGCTTTTGATTGAAGTAGAAGTCAGCAGGAGTCAAGAGACACCGTTAACTTCTGTTCGGAATCATGTGGGAAGCATGAATTGTTTTACCAGGGATTATAAAACCAAGGGAAATTATAGTCTAAGTTTCAATAATGCACCTCGGAATCTTTAACAGTTCTCTCTCACTTTTGATCATCACACTTCTCTATCTGTAACTTCTTTCCTCCTCAACCTTCGATTATCTCGCTGCCTCCCTTGTTCCTCTTTCTAAGAACTTGGATCGAAGTAGAGCAGTAGTGAATATTATGTAAATAATCTCCTTCAAAGGGAAAATAAGGTTGAATGAAAATATAATAGCCGGTTATCTTTGTTTGACTAAGCGTTTTATTTTCTTAGATTTCCAGAGATGGAATATAAAACACTACATGAAATTGATTATCTAACGGATTTAAAATTTGGTCGATTTCATCAATTTTTAAATTTATTCAATGGCATGGAAAAGGATAGCGAAAAGCTGTTTGAAACTCGTCGAGCAGTCGGAGCAGTAGCGAATTTTCTACTTAAAGATACTGTTGCGAAAATTGCCGAGGCTATTATAACAAATGAAACTGGTCATTTTTTTCGTATACGTCGTTATTGGCAAGTATTCTACTATTGCATAACAACATACAATTTCTTGGAAAATGTTAATCCGTGCACAAGTGCATTCCAAACAACGTAAGTGGATTACTGTGTGTACTTAATTGCGTGTGCTTGTGTGGACATTTGCTTTCACTATAGTATGTGCTCTGTGTTGAGACTATTCATAGATAATAAACTGACTTAACTATGGGTTTACTGATATGAGCTAACTGATGTTAGCTGATGATGAAATCCTTCAACCAATCAAACGGAATCCCTACAAACCAATACTTGATAACTGATCTGATGCTCACTAGCCACTTCGAAGAGTTCTCCGTTCTCATTCATTTCCTTGAGAGTCTCTTAACCCATGGTGAATCCTCTGCCATCGTTGTCTACTCCAGGTTTGGCTTCCATTCATATCGCCCATGAGGATTTTAATGTCTGCATCTGGGATGCTTTCCATTGCTGTTTGCAGTTGTCCTTCTTCTCTCATTCCGATTTGCCTGTAGCATTGTGCCTAGCATTTGATAATTGCAACATTCCTTCCTTCCTTTTGAGTTGAGTCTTGCTGTCATAATCCTGGATGAAGTTGGTTCCCACTGCATCGGAGCTTTGTCTGTTACCAGTGACACCATGATAGCCACTCACCCACTGCTTCAGTGTGCTCGTGGTTGTCGTCTGGGTGGCCAGACCGGATTACATTACTGACTCAATTTGGTAATTTTGATAGCTCACATCCATTCAATCTGCTGTCATAGATTCCGAGCACTTCTACATTATATCTTCTCACTTCTTTGGCCGTCTGGGCA